ATCCTTTTTTAAAATGGGTGTGGGTAGTGAGAGGAGGTGGAAGTGTAAACCAAAGTGAATGCATGCATTTGGAAGTGTCCTGGCAATTGAGTGATATCATTCTGAACATCTTAAAGACAAACAATGAGAGTGGGAGAAGCTTGTGGTGAGTCAGGAGGACAGTGAGCCCAGGACTGACTGAATGGAAGGCAGATAGTCCTGACTTGGGCTTCATGTCCCAGCAGATGCAGTGGGAATTACCCAAGATCCGTGGCGGAAAGTGCAGATTTGGGTCCATAGACCTCCTCCCACCCCTCTCTTTGCCTTCAGATACCCATAGACTTCCCAGAATCTTCTCAATTTACCCATCCCTGCCACAAGCTGGTGGATGATACCCGGGACCCCAGGTTCCCAGCTGCTCCCTGGTGCCTGAATTAGTTGTTGTATCACTTGCGGGTCAAGGGGACCAGAGAATAGAGAACGAGGAAATATGGAAGACCTAAGACTTACTCATTAGTTTGAAAAAAACTAGGAGGCCACACCATGGGCTCCTGAGGTACTCCCTACTCCAGCTTTCTTATCCTACAACTGACCCCATCCCTTTGCCATTCTTCTTCATTCTTTATGGTCAGCTTCTTGGCATCAGCTTACACCCTCCTTTACCTGTGCTTCCTGAGGTTCCTGTGCACTACCCTTGTCCTGCCTCATCCCACTCACCTGTCCTAAATCTCCTGGGTTCCTGCTGCTCAGGGCCGAGTATCTCTGGCCTTGTCTTTTTCTGTCAGTGCACGAAAGGAGATCAGCTGGCCCATCTGCACTTTTTCACTGAAGTCTACCTTCCCTTTTACACCATGCCACCCCCATCCTCACCATTCGGCTTTAAAAACATGAAAACTAGTTCTCTACCATCAACAGTGCTCATATACCCCCCAGTCAGCAAATGTTAGTGGTCTGCTGAGATTTTAGTGCCCATTGCCTAAGAAATTTTATTTCATGCATAGGGTATCATGCAAAAAAAATTGTGGGTGTTCCCTACTTCTATTTTACAGTTTTGAAGCCTCAAGAAGCTAAAATTTGCCTATCTTTTGTTGGTGCTCAGTCCACATTGAAAGAAAGTCTGCACCATTCAAAATTACTCTCAACCATTAAATTCTGCTTAAAGAGGTTTTTCTTTTTTCCTCCAGGTAGTTAGGTCAGATACTAACCTAACAAAAATATTTAACTACTTTTTTTCTGATTTATTAAAAGTATAGTTCAATGTGTATCAATCTGCTTATTAATCTCCAAGTTTATGTGAATAATTACCATCTCTATGTACTAACTTGAAATTTTATAATTTTTTAGTTCCAAAAGGAGAAAAAAAAAAACCAAGTTGTTAACATTAAGGATAAAGGTAAACTGCAATCCAGTTAAATTATTTGCAATATTTCTAGATATTTTAGGTGATAGGCTTTTAAAAAATAAATGTTATGAAAATGTCGTGAAAGTATATTTTTATATTTCATAAATCTTGACTATTCATAGTATGACAATACTACCAATATTGGGTGATTGGAAGCAACGGATTTCTTATGTAAAACAGGGCTGTATTTCTCAGAGTAATTTCTTTATTGAGCATAAATATAATTTTCCCCCAGCAAGTCCAGAGCACATTCTGATAGCTTAGCCTGCTTTTCGTCATACCCTTATGAGTATTTTCCTAGGACAGTAAATATTCCTTGAAAACATGATTTGTGATGACTGTATACTATTTGATTAAATGCTGTTCCATGATTTTGTTGCTGTCTCATGAGATTTTAGTTGGTTCTTATTTTTTCATATTTAAAAAAATAGCATTATGATTTCTTGTTTTCCCCTGACCTGGAAGAGCAATGATCGAGTTAAGACCAAGTCTAAATGCTACTCCTGGATGCTTCAGTCCTCCAGTATTTGTCTTGTGGATGCCAGGGGAAGTTTTTGGTTTTAAGTTTCCTGACAGCTTTGGCCTACTGCTTCTTTTCTTCCTGGCTGATAGCCAGACCACCTGACAACAGCTGGGTCAGGATGGGTAGAAACAGGCCCAGTTAGGCTCTGATGGCCAAGACCAAGATGGACATGAGGTTCAGCCTCTCTCCTTGACCATTCTTTAGCTCTGGGCCTTCTTTACCTGTTGGATAGCTTGCCTCCCCTTCTTCCTTAGATCAGTCCTCATCTGATACTATAGTGTGATGGCTTGTTTTCTTTCAGTTCTAGTTCTCAAATTTCTCTTCCAGTAGCTACATAGACAAATTTGATATTGTGATTTATAACAAGATGTTTGGTCTTCGCCCCCTTCCAGGCACAGAGCTCCTAAAACCCTTGGAAATTTTTAAGTGGTGAGAGAGAGAGAGAGAGAGAGAGAGAGAGTTGTCTTTTGTAATGTTAATGAGGGGATGTTTGGAAACTACATACGGATGGGAGCTGGTTGTCTGGAGAATCAACCAAGTAATTAGAAGGTTGGAACACAGTCCTATTGGCCCTGACCTCTAGGGAAGGGAAAAGGGCTAGAGACTGAGCTCAATCACCAATGCCCAGTGATTTAATCAACCATGCCTATGTAATGAAGCCTCCATACAAATCCAAAAGGATGTGGCTCAGAGAGCTTCAGTGTTGGTGAACACATGGAGATTTGGGGAGAGTGGTGCGCCTGGAGAGTTCATGGAAGCTCCATGCCCTTCCCCCATACCTTGCCCCATGATCTCTTCCATCTCTCTCTTCCTGAGTTATAGTCTTTTATAATAAGCCAGTAGTCTAGTAAGTAAAATGTTTCTGAGTTCTGTGAGCTGCTCTCCCAAATTAATCAAACCCAAGGATAAGGTTGTTGAAACCTCCAGTCGACAGCCAGTTGAGCAGAAGCACATGTGACAAGCTGGCTGGCAGTTGGTATTTGAGTGGGGAATGGGCAGAGCCTTGTAGAACCGAAACTTTACCTTGTGCAATCTGACATCATCTCCAGCTAGACAGTATGGGACTTGAGTCGGATTGTAGGACATCTAGTCGGTGTCAGAGAATTGTTTGGTGGCGTGGGGAAGAAACCCACACACTGGAATTAGTTGGAATCAGAATCTTAAAAACCTAGACTTGTGTCAATACCACAGTCCATGCTGGGCTTTCACATTCCATTCCCAGAATTGGATCCTGATCTGGCAGCTGGGTTCTGCTTTCTGCCGAGGAGCTCCTTAATACCCACAAGCCCTGTCTGCCTCCCAGACCTGTAGGACTGTTCCTTTACACATTATAATCGACTCCTGTATGCTAAACTCAATATTCTTGGTTTTTTCTTCAAATGTCCTTTTCCTGAAAAGCAGAGCTCTCTTCTGGTGTCTGCAACTGCATCCTTTCTCTAAGTGCTTGTCCCACGCTAGTGACAAGGATCAGCTCCTCCTGTGAGTCATCACCCCTTCTGATCCTGGCTCCTCTTTACTCTGTTGGCACGCGACCCTGCCTCTCTGTGCCTCTTCTATGTCTTTATGTGGAAGTAATAATAGTGCTTGCCTCATAAAGTTGTGAGATGCAGTAAATTAACACATGCAAAGAGCTTAGAGTGTTGCCTCGTAAGCATTTAATGCGTCTTAGCTTTGTTATCTTAGAAAATTTCTCTTCAAGCTCTGTTAGCACCAGGCTTCTCTTTCCTCGGAGTCCCACTGCAGGCGTGGACAAAGGCAGGCCGGAGAAAGCTCTTGGACTGCTGCTTCTCTTTCTAGGATATAACAAATGACCTAACAGCCCTCCTGCCAAATTCAGAGCCAGCAGTCAGTCGGGTTTCCCTTTTATCTTATTTGAAGCAAGTTAATAAAAAGAAATATTAACTTCTGAATTGTACACAATGGGACTCTAATGGATATTTGCTAAAGGGAACATTGAACACATGTACAAAGGGCTTGTTTTGAGCTGTATCTCTTTAGTTTCACGTTCCAGGCTCAATGTGAGGTAAGAGGAGGCTGGGAAAACTATGTCGAAATTCAGTATATTATGTAACTCTCAAGAGGTGGACCACAGAGGAAGGGATGCCGACAAATTCATAGAAACAGAGTAGAATGGTGGTTGCCAGGGTCTGGGGCAGGGGGAAGGGGAGGCAAATGGAAAGATATTGGTCAAAGCGTACCAACTTTTAGTTTTAAGATGATTAAGTTCTGGGGATCAATATTCACTGTGGTGACTATAGTTAGCAATACTGTAGTGTATATACTTGAAAAGTTGCTAAGAGAGGTCTTAAATGTTCTCACCACACAGAAAAAAAATTGTAATATTGTGAGGTGACGGATGTGCTAACCAATCTTACTGTGGTCATCATTTGGCAATATATATATGTATCAAATCATAATACTGAGTACTTTGCATTTATACGTTATATGTCAATTCTATCTCACTAAAGCTGGGCCAAAAAGGCATGCTGGGAATCCTTCACAGGTGGGCCAACAACTTGTGATCCAATTTCCAAATTTAATGGTGGTAAAATCAGTTTATTTCTGTAATGTCTATTAGTGAGAACACTGAACCAAGCCCAGTCAGTGATGTTGAGCAAAACAGGTGACTATGTTGTAAGAGGTCATAGCTGAAGATTATGCACTGAAAACTAGGATGGCCTGTTCACTGGGACATGCAAAAACTTGTCTTGTGACTCTGGAGGAGGATGTCACCAGGGCATTGTACTGCTATCCCCACCAATCACGACTCCATGTTGAAGGTGGACAAAAAGAATGAAGAAGAGATGGTTTTAATAGGCACATAGAGACACTCTTTGGAGTGTTGGCTGGTTCCGTACTAATCATTTCTGACTTGTTGCACTTTGTTTAGAGCCTGTTAATCCTTCATACATGTGCCTAAAATTCTTGTGCTGAATGAGAAAAAAAATAAGGTTGCCACTGGAAGATTCTAAAAATGGACAGGAGAGCTCTTTCAAGCGCATATTCAGCACGATTAGAAGTCCCATGATGCAGATGACCAGCATTGGAAATGACAAGGAAGCGTGTCAAGTGGAAAAATGACTGGTTAATTCTCACCTTCCCATTGTGCCCGGTCTGAGGCATCACCAGAAATAGCAGCAGCAGGTCCTGGAAGCCGTGGCCGTCATCCGAATAGGACATGAACAAGGGAGGAAATGGGGATGAGGAGGCCGGTTATGCCTCATCCCTTCCAGCCCCCCTTTACGCACACAGGAAGTCACAGCCAGGACTGTCATCTCTTTGGACAAAGAGTGATGATGTAAAAAGAGCCTGAAACATAAAGATGGCAAATACTCATCCTTAAGTCATGCAAACTCCCTGCCTGACCCTTCATCTGCTTTGTTTTTTTGAACCTGGACTTCTCATCGTGTAATTTCCTTGGTCATATATCCCCTTCTGTTCCCTGGGAATGAGACGCACTTTCTTTTTCTCCTCAGGGACCACGCAACAGCTATTTTAGAATGGTTCTAAATCCAGTTTAAACACGAAAAGAGGGAAGGTCTTTGAAAAGAGGTATCTTTGTTTGGTTTCCTTTTTTTTCCTTTCTTACAAAAATAAAACACGTCGAGGTAAGTTAAACAATGGACTTAAATGTCGCTTTGAGATCATGTTCGTTCTGAAAATATAAAAGTTGGCTCCTCTAATGTCCTCACTTTAACCCTGATGTTTGCACATGTAATGCATTTAAGTTGTTGGTATTTGTTAGCTATTCTTAGGCATAATTTCATCAACCGCTTTTTAAAAACTTAAATTTTCCCTTACATTTGGAACATCGTTCACTGAACACCAAATAAGTTAATAATAAATTCAAGGTTTTGAAGCTTTCTTCATAAATATCATTAAATTTTTTAAAAATTGCTTTTTTCTATATATGCATCATTTTAGGATTTTCAGAATACTTTTACAATAGTTGCCTTTGATATATATGCATTCAAAGCAGTAGCATCTAGTATATTTTTAACATCTGAATTCTTGCAGAGTAATTTTTGGATCATTTCCTTTTCATTCCTTTGAGAACTTAATGTAGGCAGCTCCTGCTTTGTGCATGCTGTGTTAACTGAAACTCATTTGTATCAGAACCATGCAAAGTGAGAGTTGCTATATGTTTGTTTGTTTTAATCTCATCAGGATTCAAACATCACTTTAGGAGACCAGCATACCTTGGTATTCTGATAGCAGTGTCATTTTTCTCTAAAATTATTGAGAAATGATTTAGCCTGCCTTTAACAGACGTATATTTCTTCTGTTAGTACCAGCCTCTGGCTACTCTCCAAGTGCAGGACAAACACAAAGGGCTCTCTGTGCAGTTCAATGTTCCCACCAAGTGCTTCAGCTAGCATTCCGGTCCTTGGTCCAATTCTTCCCACTGTTCATGAAAAGAGCAAGGAGAGTCCCCTCCATGACCCTTTGTGTCCCACAGGGTCTTGTGGGTTCCCAACCATTGACAAAGTAGCCAGTTACTGCCGAGGAGCCTGGTGAACCTGTGCCACTGTCCCGACACTCCTTACCAGTAACCTGGCCCCCAGGCCAGCACATGCTCTGCTGTCTTGCCCATGCTCCACTCCCTAGCTCTCATGTCCTTGGCCCTTGGCAGTTTATTCAAATGGAAGGTACTATTAGTATGCACCTCATAGGGTTGTTTCAAGGGTGCAATTAAATGCCTACAATGCACTTTGCATTTTGCAAACATGCTGTAAATATTCAGTAAGTGTTAGTTGTTATTACCGCCCCATAGAAAACAACTGAGGCTTGAAGCCATTTTCTTATAAGACACTAACTCACACTTTTCAAGAGCAGTTCGAAGCTTCCATTCTAATCTGATCCAGGCCACTGTATTAGTTTTCTGCAGCGGCTGTAACAAATTACCATACATTTGGTGGCTTAAAACAGCATGGATTGATTATCTCACTGTGCTGGAGGCCAGAAGTCCTACAGTCCAGGTACCACTTAGGGGATTCTTCCAGGATGCTCAAGGGGAGAATCCATTTCCTTGCCTTGTCCAGCTTCTAGAGGCTGTGGCATGCCTTGACTCGTGGCCCCTTCCTTCATCTTCAAAGCCAGCAGCACAGCATCTTCACATCTCCTCCCCTCTCTCTCTCTGTGAACTGCCTCCATGACTGTATCTTCTTCTGTGACCCTGACACTCCTACTTTTCTCTTCTCAGGAACCTTGTCATTCACCTTGTCAACCCACCCTGATAGTCCTTGATAATCTCCCCATCTCTATCACAAGATCACAGTGGTAGGAGATTAGGATGTAGACATAATTGGGGGTCCGTTATTCCATCTACTACCACCACTTTGAAGATTTCATTTGATTTCTCATCTTTAATAAAAACCAAATTCTAGGTGACTTTGAAGTTTTGAACTCCACCAACTCAACTCTCAAAGCTATTCATTCCTAGGGTTGTTTACACATTATCATGTATCAGAAATATCCAGACAAAAACTCTGACAGACATTGTGAGTTGACTGATGCATGACTGATTTCTAACCCTTTTTTCCCTTTATTGCCTCTGTTCAAAAGTCCATAATTCTTTGGAATGGCCACATGGCACAGTTTTTGCCAATGAGATATAAGTAAAAATCTTTTGCCAATTTTGAGAAACTGTGCTTGCATCATGAAAAAGAACATACATCCTCCTTTTTTTGGATGCAGACCTGATAGTTGGAGCTTCAGCAGCCATCATGTAATCATGAGGAAAAGGCTGGCCAGGGAATCACAGAGACATTGACCCTACCATTGCTGAATTACTGAAACAACTTCAGTAACCACCCTAGCAACTTCTGTTATGTTAGAATAAGTAAACTCATATTTGTTTTAGCCACTGTACTTAGGTTCTCTGTTAGTCATAGCTGACTAAGTATAATGGTAGTTTAAAAAATTACCTAGCCTAACCATAAATGCCTCATCCCTCAGAAGCCATACAGAGGACTGACAAGAGTGGGAATAAACACTAATAATATTATAATGAATAATGAATTTATGTGATTATATGACAATTTTTAGACTTATTAATGGAAAACCCCTCTTTTGAGTAGAGTCAATAACTAAGCAGAACCAGACATAAATTGCTGGCTAACGTAAGCTGGCCAAGGAGACCTTGCCAAGTATTTTTCTTTTTAAAAATATTTCCCATTTTTATATTTAATCTCAGCTCCTGCTCGCCCTTAAATGCCTTATTTCTGTAATAAAGAATAATTTTCTGCCTCTGTTTACACTAGACTTAGTTTACTTGTTTTCTCACCATTGTTTTTTCTTGGGTCATTGAGTTTTGTTTCTTTCAGTTCTGAAATGTCAAGGTTCTGTATCACTGAAGAAGCAAAAACCTTTGTTTTTAAAGGCTAAAATACTTCTCTCACAGGGGCTTTCCAAAAGAACTGAATGGCATACTCAGGAGTGCAAATTATAGGGAAACCCCTTAGTTTCTCTCATCCCCCAACAGGAGCAAATTTTCCATGAAGCATTGACTCTACACTCAAAAAAGGCATGTGCACATCTTCTGACCTCGGAAGACACTTACAATGGGCCAGAAGGATGAGTGGCCAGTAGTATGTATGTAGGATCATGTGCAATTCAGGTTGCTTAGTGAGAACCAGAAAAAGCCTAGAAGATAAGAGAGAGAGGTTCAGTTGTCAGCCCGTCTTGGCAGAAGCTTTAATCTTTAGAGAAAAGTCTACAGTCCTATCTAAAACACTTTAATTAAATCATGAGAACTGTTCCCAATGTAATTCTTGTAATGCTAGAAAACTCATGGAAAATTGTGTAATTTCAGATATTTCAGCCCCATTTGTAGTATGAACATTTCAGGAATATTCATATATATACATATTTTAAATTTTAAGATGCTGTCGATTTTGTAAAACACTATCAATTTAAATACAGCTTTTGTGTGTGTAAGAAAAAAGGCAAATCACATTGAATGGACAAACCAATTCTTACACAGACTAATTTCAGGGAGACTTAAAGTATGCAAAGCAAGAATTTTAGTCTTTGAAGGAAAACAGTTCTTTGGGCTCCTTTAGAGAGATCTAAGCTCAGATTTCTCATTTTTGAATGAGAGGAATGTGAGCTATGGTGATGGGGGTGGGGTGTCGAGGGGCTGCTAGAGAGAAATGCCAAGAGAATTAGGAGAAAGGAAAGATCAGATGTAACTTGATTGATATTTACAACAAATGTAAAACTTGGTTATCTTCAGAGAACAATAGAATTTCCTGCGTAGATTTTACTTATCCTGGCCCATTTGAAGATAAACAGGCCTGCCCTTGGCAATATTGTGAAAAGATGAAGACCTTTTATAGCTCATGGGAAAACACCCAGGAAAATCAGGAATGTGAGTTTGGGTTTTAACTTTACAATTAATTTATGGTGTGACAGCAGCATGTTGTTTAACCTTCCTGGCCTACAATATTCTCTTTTGCAAAATTAGCACAATAGACTATTTGTCTCCCACAAAATATCTGAGCCACTGGGAGCACAGAGATGTATTTCTTTGGGATTATCCAGTGAGTTGTGGGCTGGGGTGAGATGGGGGAGTTCCCCCCCTTGTAGCAGAGTGGCCTCAGGGCCTTGGCTGGTGAAATGCCACCTCTGGGCTGAGTGGGCAGCAGCGCTGGGGTCAGGAACTGACAGCAGACACCCATCAGCAATGTTCAAGCTCCTTAATGACAGCCCCCCAGGCAAAGGCGCTGATGAGGAGTGAGAGCAAAACCCACTGAAGACCACAAAGATTAGCAGAGGCTGAAAAAAAGAAACACCTTCACTTTCCAGTCTGCGAGACAAGGACAGGTGGTGAAAGCCAAGTGGTCAGTTTGTCTCTGCCTTCAAGCCTTAGCTTCCTACTTACCATGTCTTCATGGTCTGTTCTGAGGCACTAGTAACCACTGTTAACCTGACTGAATCTGCTAAGTGATGGAGCTGTGGGTAAGAAGAGTTTTAAGATGACAAAGTGACCAAAATGTGAGATAATATAATAAACTGAAAGTAAAGGAGCAAAATCTGCAAATGCAAATAGAATGATTATGATAATAGTGAAAGGAATCGTGGAGAACAAAGATTTATCATAACACCCACGCTGACCAGTGTCCTGTGCCATGCAATCAACAACAATCACATGCTTTCCACTTATGAATAAATAGACT